CTGCAGAAGGAGCGACGTGCCAAAAACAAGGCAGTCTCAGACCTGGCAATTTTGGATGCATTGATAGTGCACATCACACACACTCAGCATTGAATTGGGCCCATTGCTTAGCAACTGTCACTCCATTTAGATGAATGTAGACAGGTAGTGCTGGACAGACCCTGCAGGGGTAGACATTAAGGGTAAAAAGCCACTGGCCCTCCGGGCCGGTGGAATTGTATTGTCACTGGCCCCACCATTGTAACCACTGGCCCGGAGCATTCGTCCAAAAAAAATCGACTAATAATGAAGAAAATGAACACATTTGTTGCAATAGTAATTTATGCACTAACATTACAACATTTGAACAATCAGTTCTTCCTCATTTTCCTCAATTGTTCATATTTGGTTTATTAAAATAAGGATATTGTGGTCATTGTTAAAAAATGTCTGCTATTATTATCAGTATTATTATTTGTATAATGCACTTTCTGCCTTCCTGTCATTAGGAGTTAGAAATGTAATGGCTATAGATTAGATTAGATCCTTCATTCTCCTAAACTGCTGGGACATTTCCCTAAAGCCAATACCTATATATTTTCTACTCTTCACTTAGCCTACTTGTCAGCATAGGTCGGCATTGATGTACAGAGCCGACAGAAGACTTTGTTTATATTGGCATCATATTGAGAGGTGCAGCCAGTGACGCATCCTAAAACCAGGAAGTAAGCTGCTGGTTCCCTCGACAGAAAGCAATGTGATTTCTCCACAGGGTTTTGGAAAATAGCTGGAAATAAGGTCTGTGGAAAACAAACCTGATAAATGCACGTTTTGTTCAGCCGGATAATCTCCACATGTCTACCCTACTTTTATAATGTTCGAATCATAAATCTAATCGATAGTTTATAAAAGGGTTTTAGGACGCGTCACTGCACCACTCTATAGAAGCCAACTCCATCGATCAAGCTGGCTGAAACTTTCTCTCCCTCTTCTTCTCATGCTCCCTGTCACTCTCCTTTAACTCCTCCGGTGACTTTCTTTTATTTGAAGATTGTTTTTTGCCCGGTTACCGCTGGTATTAAAAACATTTTGGCGAATGGTTAGGTGGCGCGATAGTCTGTAGTGAAGGAGCGCGCTCCCGCTCACGGGAGCCTGCTCGCGCTGCGCTCCGCAACAAACAGCTGTTTGCTTTTCACCCAACAACGACAAGCGACTCACGAAACGCTATGTTGTAGCGTTGATAAACGAAACAATTTAACAAAATTGCTAGTCAAAATACCAATACCACAGGAAACATTTTTTTTTAAACAATATTTTTAGTGGCCCGAGCGGGCAAGTGGAAAGTAGGCCTACGTTATGCTGGCCCGGGGTGTCTAAATAGTGCTTCCGGGCCAGCGGGCCATTTATAATGTCGAGCCCTGCCCTGCTCTTCAGCCAGCAAAGCTCCATCTAGATGTAGAACATAATGTAACATGTGGATAAATTAAATCTAAGAATTCTTGAGCCAAATGCCTCCTAATGGATTCTAAGGGAACAAGAGGGAGGAGGAAAAGAGCAAGAGCATTTGTAAAAGGCTCAGAGGAGAGTGAGAGAGTGAGCCTAATAGAAGTGTATCAGGTAGTTTATCTGATACAGCCACCACCTACACCAGTAATGTTTCTTTTCATGACTCCAAAAGCTCAAATGAACTCTGAAAACTAGACCCCTTGAAATGTGCCTCGTCTTTTTGCCTTGTCTGTGACCTTTGAGCTCCACTAGTCGACAGCCTCCTTTAATGAAGCAGTAAGAGCATGGAGGCAGATAATAAGACTGCTGCACTGCTCCCCTTTTGTACATTTCAACGTCTCAGTGGTCTTTAATAAAAAGGCCAGAGGAAATAGGCAGACAGGCGCACAGTCAAGCCTTTCTGATGTGTGGGGATCCTCAGTGTAAAATCATGTCTATGTCCATGATGATGATGCCCACTGTGATCTAAAATCTGCATTAGGTCTTATTGTCCTGTCTTTTGTCAATACTCCCGATCTGATTTTGAAGGTGATGATACAAACAATATCCAGTTATTGCGTCTTGCATATCTAAATAATGTGAGTCACAGCTACTGTCTGAGCATTTCTAAAAAAGTTATTTCTGGAGTGAGCAAATTATGGTGCAGAGGCCTTGTTATTGTTGCTGGAGGCATTTAAGTGCCACCGTCCTAATGGCTATACGAGGGCATCGGTGAGGGCAGGTGTTCTGTAAAGTGTCAGCGCAGGAGAAAAATGGAAGCACTCAGCAGAGAGACTCCACACATGCACCCACACCCACACCTTCACATTCTCACTATTTTTATTGTTCTTTTGTTCATGGTGGTATTTCTCTCCTACCCTCTTCGCTATATGGTTTTTCTCTCATTAATCACAATACATTCACAGGCAAAACTACAGTATGTCCTGAGGCAAACTCACCTCTTCCTTCTCATGGTGCCTTTCTATTTCCCCCAAAAATGTTACTCTCAGCTCCTCTGTCTCCTTCTATCCTTTCTGGATGCCTTGTATGACTTCTCTGCACTGACCTTCCTATTTAAACCAGCCCACATGCCAAGCTTCACCCAGATATCATTGGCAGTTAATGTGCAGAAGCAGCACCTGTCTCCATAATGATACAGAGCTCACTGCTGAGGTTTGTTTCCCCTCTGCCTCCCTGTCTCTCTCCTTCTGCAGACCTGAGATGAATTTGCTGATAATGCCCCTCAGCGCCCTGTTCTCACTCGGATGAAACTTTAGGTTATATTCGTGGCCTTGGCTTGGGGGAGCGTGTGCATGCTTTTCTGAGTCTGCACTTCTACAGCACCCAGGAAACGAACTTGGACATAATGCACCAGCTGGTTCATGCTGAAGGAGAGCGCGTACGTACGTGTGCAAACATTTTAACTTACACATATGCATATAACTAACCTGCTCTTTGACTTTATAATGACTACCACAAGTTACATTGTTTCATCATGTTCTGTAGTTTCATTAAGATATTTTACTTAACACACAAATACAAGAAAAAAGTTGTGTATGCCAAATTTCACATAAAATCCAAAGTATTTGCAGTATCTGTATGTTAAATTATTCAATCAATAAGTAAAAGTACTTATTTTGCAAGATGGTTTTATTGAGAGTGTTATATGTATAATAGCGATTTATTGAATTTGAATAGCTTGATAAAGTGTTGGGCAGTTTATTCCATAACCTGAAATGAGCAGTAACTGTCAGATTAATATAGTATAGTAAAGACTACAATATTTCCCGCTGTGTTTAGAAAAATCCTTAAATGAAAACACTCAACCTCAAATTATAATGAAGCACAGTACTTGACTTGATGTACTTAGAACCAAACAGTTACCATATGTTGTTCTGATCTGCAGAGCTGTAATGTGACTAACATACCAAGGAAACCAGATTGCCAGCTATATGTATTCTCTTTTCCTTGAACAATGGCTCGTGAGCTCTCTTGGTATCATCCCGACATCGACAGACGCTAATAGGATAGAACACTGGCAGCCAAATAGACCCCTAAGCAGGACACTGTAATGAGGAAAGGGCCCCTGGGGGCTCCTTGGGGGACACCAGAGATCCATACTGCAGCTGGCAGCCTGAATGGATCCACAATCCAAGAGAAGTGTCTGTACCGGTGACATGGTTTGCTACTTTGATTCTCTCTACAAGAATCCAACAGCTTGAAGGAAGCTTTTGTCATAAAAAGGGCTGAAACATGGAAACAGACTCCAGATAAACGACTGCAACTGTGTTTGTCTGCAGACACGAGACCCGTCTGACCAGTTGAAGAGTTTCTGGGAATAAATAGAGACTTTTAAAGTTGATAAGCTGCTTTTAGGGGATGGTTAATGTGCCGCGAGTGACTAACAGCAGAACTGTAAACACAGATGGAGCATGATGGTATTTACTGTAGACGGAGCCATATTGCAGCATCATATTTACAGGAGGACTAGGAGCTAGAAATGCATTAAATGTCAATCCAATAACAATTCAGATTGTCCTCATTAGAACCACGAGGATGTCTCCACTAGCTGCAAGCCATGAAACACTGAGTGAGCTAACTGAAGTTTTTATAGTTTTTCTAATTAATCTGCATCTTTTTTTAATAAACAAACCGTGAACATCTGGTTCGACAGACCTAAAGGTTCATTATTATCAACCTATTGTCAACCTAAAATAATGGTAAAATGTGTGCATTCATTTATCATTAAAACACATTTATAAACTTTAGTCCCCCAAATTGACAGCCTTGCATTGTGGTTGATAATGTAGCCTTAACAGTTAATAAATGGTAATGTATTACATCACAGCAAGAAGTTTTGATGGAACATTTGAATAACATGTAAAAAAAAAATAGCAAAATGCTAACTCGTTGCTTATAGGTGCAATCACAGTATTGGATTTATCAGCAATTTTCTACTTTTCAACATGTTTTAGGGATTATATAAACTTCACACTTAGTGACACCAGATTGAGTAACATACCAAAATACAATGTATGCATTTTGAGTCCAGATTTGAGAGAATACAAACTCCACATAACTCTCAACCAGCAGTTGTCTGTGGTTGTTGTTTTCTTGGTTCAACACTAACATGCACACAGACTGAATAAGGTAGCAGGTTTATCAGATTAGGTGGAAAGCTCTCTGTAATGTTTTTTAAACACAAGTCTCTCTTGGCTCATTAGCAGCTAGACGCTACAGGGATCACAGGCAGTCATCGTTAGCTAGACAAACACATGTAATGGATGGCCATTGTTCATCAACAGGTGCAAGCAGCAAATACTGAGGAGAGGGAGGAAGTGATTGAGAGAGACTTCTCTTAGCTCTTGTGTGTATTGTGAATTCACATGTGTGTGTGACTATTCTGTGTTTTTGCATGTGCATTTTTGGATTGTCATGAATGCCGCCCCTGCATGCCACAGCATCGTCCTATTGTGGCACTGCGGGAAACTTAAAAGTCAAGCAGCAGTGTCTGAGCAGGGCTGTTCAAGTCTTACCTTTGTCCAGAGAAGCGTCTGGGGAGTTAAAGTCCATCATACTGCTGATTTCAGTCTTGTAGCAGAGGTCAGTGGCCGGAGATTTCTGCCTCGGGCAGGAAGAGGGGTCTGAGAGGGAAACAAATGACAAAAAACTAGGTTAAATACACAGAGAACCGAGAAAAAATGATATGGAGCGTGAGCTAAGGAATGACTCCACATTTTGTTTATTTGATATGCAATCAAATAGGTTCAAACTAAAATATGAGGACCTTCAATTACTTGAATTGCTTTATTTACATTATAATTAGGTCAACCCAAATGCATTTTTGGTTTTAGGAGAACTACACCGACAACTTACGGAGAGATTTGGAAAGATAACACATTTAGACAGATAGTGGAATTTTTTCTTTTTGCATTCTTAGAAATAAGATTTGAGCTAAAGCATTTGTAACAAGAGTGTGTGGAAATACTACCGCATTTCAAACAATTAGAAAGAGAAAGCAAATGACAAATGAATATAGTAATTTTTGACTAATACTTGTGAACGCATTTAAAAGGGCAACTGGAGATGTCCTACTAACAGTTATTTAAAATGACTATGGAGACAGCAATAGCTAAATGAGAAGGAGAGCAAATCCCTGTGTACGCCCAAACCTCAGGGTAATGAATACTATGTTAAACTGCTCATTATTTTTCCTCACAGAACGCACGAGGAAACAAAATGATTAATTCAGCACGCCACACATCCCTCTCAATACACACATCATGAACTTTTATTCCTCTCTCGTTACACTGTACTCTCCTAACTCCTCGGTTTCTATTCATCAACACAGCTACTGTCTTTGGCGAGAGTGTGTAGCAAAAGCATCCCAGCCTAAACACATGCAGGCACACACACAGTCACTACTTTGAGAGACTGCTGAATATAAATATTAGCATTTTTATGACCAAAGTGTGATATGATTTCTGGTGAGGTTCAGTTATTTAAAAAAAATAAGGTTTGGCCAGCCTCCCCAGTGGTGTGTAGTGAATGATTATTAAATGCATTGCTCCAGGTCAGCTCACATAAGAGTTCTTCCTAAAAATGAAAAACTGAAGTCCGCTTCCTTAGTAAGTACAATTCTCAAAAGGTCACAAGTGTCACTTTTTAAAAGAGAAGTAGTCTGGCAATATTTTTTAACGGCTTTTAAGATTATGCTTTCCTCACACAGTTACATTCAAATTCCAGCCAACTACATCTCTTTGACTTCACTCTTCAACCTCTGCTCCTCTTCCTCATCCTGTTCCATTTTCCATCAGTCCACCACCCACAGAATAAGCCGCTGCCATAGTTTGATTTATTTGCAGTATTCTTTGCACAGATGTGCCTGGGTGAAGAGCTCCTGGTCTTGGGGTGTTGTTGTCATTATGAAGTGATAAATCTAACCTTATGCTGACACAAATAACAGCCTGGCAGCCTGTGCCCAGCAACATTGATTGGCAAGAGGGCATGTTTTTTTTTAATAACTGTGGATTACATTTTGCCAATCTATACTTGTTCCAACTTGCCCAGGGTGCAGCCTATGGCACCAGCAACACAGTTTATTGAATGATGTTAAAATTCACAGGGTGTACTTATCTGCTGGCTTCAAGCTGCTGCTGCCCAGTAGACTCATGAACATGTTCCTCACATCGTACCCATGACAGGCCCTCACTAACATTCATAAACTTACCAAGGGAAATGTGTGTCGGAATAAATGCAAAGAAAAAAGTGAGCCTTGATGGTTGCTTGATGTGGATGGAGAGGAAAAGCGATAAGAGGGGGGGGAGTAAAGAGAATACGCTACAGAGTGAGCTCAGGAATGACTCGACATTTTGTTTACTTGATATGCAATCAAAATAGGTTCAAACCAAAAATATGAGGACCTTAATTATTTGAATTTCTTTATTTACATTATAATTAGGTCAACCCAAATGCATTAAAGGGGGTTTTGTTTGTTTTTTCCTATCCTGTAATTTTGTGCATGTAAACGTCTGCAAAGGCTAAAGTCCATGTGTTACCTCCAGAGGAAGTGTTTCTCCCACAAACTCCACAAGCCTATTTAACCAAAAATAAACGAAAATTCACATTCACATGGATTCATGTGTCATTGTATCATGTAAGTTGACATTACAACTGGTACAGTAACTTATTTGTAAGAATCAATTGCCCAACATTAAGAAATTGGCTGGGTAAGTGAGCAAAAGAATAAGCATGCAACGTTTCATTATGAGAGAGTTCCCACTAATGTTGGTACTAATCACAAAAACAAGCAAAATCATAATGTGAATACATAAGGGAAGATTTATGGAGTCCCTCAATAAGGGAAGGATGTGTGTTTGTCTATATAACAAGAAGCAGGAAATCATTATCACTGGCTGGGCTGCAATCAGTCCCCAGAGTTAGAGGTCTGGACAGGCTGCTGATCTTATTATCGTTTCAGTTTTTTAGACTTAGTACTGATTCGTGCAGTGTTGTGTATTTGTGGACAGCAATGATTTTTGTTCACACTGAGTTATCAAGCAGGTAATTGTAATGTTGTCTGAGTCACCGTCAAAGCTCCTGAATCAATCTCCCTTCAACACACTGAATATCGTTGCTCCAACAGCCTCATATTGATCTTTTGGTCTTTATCTCAGCTCACTAAAGTCAAAGACACATGCAGACAGTGTCACAGCGAGGAGACAGACACACAGTGGGTGGCAGGAATACACTGGCTGAGATATCAGGGGAAGAAAGAGGAGTTATAGAAACAATCATAAATGTAATCTCTGGCTCTCTGCATTTGCTATAAGGTGCTAGGCTACACCTTGAATGTGAGTGAAGCTTTCTGTACCTCTACTTTCAATTCTTCTTCAAATCATGTTCGGAGAGATCTATTAAGGATTTGAGATAAGAGCATAATTTCCTCTCCGCTTCCAGCTTCTCTGTCCGTTCATTTCCTCTCGCGCAACCAGCATTCTTATCTGACAAAGACACAAGCTTGCCTACCTTCTAACTGCAAGTGTGGCTGTGTACCACACAGTTTATATTTTGGCATAAAATGAGAGAATCAGTATGTTTTGCAGAACCTAAAACGACGCTGTGTAATTAAAATCAGAAATTTGGAAATACAGCAGGTTGGTATGGCGAGATTGGCCATCTTTCCACTATTTTAATTGAAATCCCAGAGAACTGAATAACATTTTAACATCGACATTTTCAGCTGTTTGAATGTTCCGTGTTGAATATTTAAATGTCCACATCGCTTTCATCAGCCCTTCAAACCGTTTTCTGTGGAAAGTTTTATACACACAATAGCAGTGAAGGCATTGGTTGTTATAATCTTGCCGGCTGTATTGCGTTCATAAGAAAGCAATGAACTGCACTGCAGCAGAAATGTATTATGTGTTATGTATTTTTAAACACTGATGAGAATTTATCACACCTCCCATCAAACTCCATCACTTTCTTTCATCAATAATACACGGTTAAACCAGCCGAGCATACAACTCAGGGTACAGGTAATAATTCAGCTGTGATTTAATAAATAATTATTTGGCCCACGGACTAAAACAACTGCTGTTCATCGAAACCACTCTCCAGCAGAAAGGGGGGGCTGAAACACATCGTCAATTGCTCTAAACAGCTCTTTAAAATAAGTTTTACGAACAAATAACTAGGGATGTAACGATACCAAAAACTCACGGTACGATAATATCGCGATAAAAAGTCCACGGTACGATATTTATCGTGATATTGAAAAATAAAGAAAAAAAATGTTTGTTTTTTTTACTTGAATTTTTTTTCTTTATTAAATAATAAATCTGATTTGTACAGCATTTTAGTAGGATATTAGTATTTTAAAGTGTCAACAATATAATAATCAGACCCTGCAATAGAATAAATCAAGTTTCACTTTAGTTTTTCAAGTAACTCAACTCTAACTCACTCACTCAGCATCATCAAGGTTATCTTGTAGGAATATGAGCATGTCCACATTTCCAGGTAGAAGCTGGGATGTTTGGGCGTTTACAAAATCCCCTGCTGTGGAAAAAACTCTCTTGCTTGGTACTGATGTTGCTGGGACAGAGAGATATGCTTTGGCCATGGGTGACAGCAGTGGGTCAAACTGTGCATTGTCTCTCCACCACTTCAAAAACAATACAGTTGTTGCCAAGAAGGTGAGGCTTATTGACAGGGCGAGATATAAATATACTGTTGGTACTTGTCAATGTCTCTAGGTATGTACATGTAGCCCTGTAAATACGATGTCCTTTATTGTTATCTGTTGTTTTTATGTTCATGTTGTAACCTACTTGCTATCATGTTGGACAGGTCTCCCTTGAAAAAGAGATTGATGATCTCAATGGGACCATCTGGTTGAATAAAGGTTTAAAAAAATTAAAAAAAAGATAAAAAATAAATAAAAATAAATCGCGATATTCGATATATCGTTACATCCCTACAAATAACACATGTCAGTACAGAAATGCCATACTAAGTCTAACGTTATTTTAGAAACTGTTGTGTATATGGTTACTTTAAAATGTGCCCCTGATCAGCAGTTTTTTCTCTGACTATGAAGAAGTTACACAACTGAGTGTCTTCAGTGACCCTGACTATCGTCTTCCATACTAGGTTTAAGGTTATTTTAGAAACTGTCGTGTATATGTTCACTTAAAATGTGCCATACCCCAGTGACCCTCCCGTGGGAGTCTGATGCTAACCTTTACAATGTTGCAGCAAAACTTACATGGAGGACTCAGCCTTTGTCAACAGGAGCGCCCTGTTGTTACTCAGTGGGGAGTAAACACCGAATCCTGTCAGTGAGAGGTCTCCCAGAATAAAATATTCCCTCAAAGAAATAGAGGCAGCAAAGCCTCCTTTACCTCACTGAGTCGAAAGGAAGTCAAACTGCAGACTTCATTGTGCTTTAAAGGACTCAGACAATTACTTTTGGGCATTCAAATAGTTTGTAGTCGGGCGGATGGTAATCCTTGAAGGGAGGGAAATATTTTGGATTATGAGACTTTTAAACTCTGCCTTAGTTTGATTGTTGGTGTTACTGTGAGTGTCACTCAAAATAGGTCTCTTTTATCATTTATGTTTGCCGTTGCACATTACA